GATTTCATTCCCTTTTGCCGCCTGATGGGGTTGTTGTGAAGGATAAATAATATACCACAGAAAAAGCCTCTACAACAGTGCTTGGCTCAGAGCTCTTCCCTGATTGCTCATAATCATGTGGCATTTTAGTTTGGTTCTAATTTAGATCACAGTTTTCTTGCATGTCTACTATTTTTCCTGGAGTTTCTAATTGCCTCGCCTTTTTTTTTTAACCCAAGAATAGTATGTGCCTTCACCGTGTCCTGAAGTTTATTCACCCTCTTGATCATACTCTCTGATGCATAGAACTCTTTTTCTTCTTGGAAGTATCCCCTGTGAGTCCTGGCCCACTGCTCCCATGGCCCCCCAGGTCTCTGCCTCACTTTTGTCTTGAAACGCCCCTTCATTGTCCACTCACTTCCCTGACTTCTCAGTTTTTTCTTGTTCTTGCTGGAATGTGAGAGGTAAACTTGGAAGGCCCTGTTCCTCTGTTGTCTAGCATCCACTGTGACTTAGGAGAAATCTGGTGTCTGTCCCAGCCTTGTTCCCTCATGGATGGCCTGGTGTTTGTTTCTCCTCTCTCTCCCTCTCTCTCCCTCGATTAAGTTTTGTGATCTCCTCTTTTTACCCAGTGTTCTGACATTGCAGAAATTCTCGCAGCAGGAGCCTTCACTCACTACCCTGTCCCGCTCTGTGCCACTCCTTTCCATGTTAGTCTCCTGTCTCCTCCTTCTTCCTTTTTAACTCTGTCAGATACTATTCTATTGTTTCTTTGGTAATTTCCTCTCCTCTATTTTTTCTGTTGTTTTACTCATTGCCTTCTGTTAGTTAGATGTTGCACCCCCAGAATTGATTCCCTGAGACTCTGAACTTTTAGCTCCTACTGTTTGTAACTATTAGATAGGTTTGGGAAATGACAGTTTGCTGTCCTATTTGATTTCAAATACCCACGCACACACCCGCTTCTCCCCAAAACATAAAATCAATAAGGAGAGCAAATACAGCCACACACAGCCCTCAGCTGCAGCATTACTAGGAGACCGAGAACGCTGTGACATTCACGTATTTTCTAGAGCTGTTTTTTTGTTCTATTTTTCTGGGTTATTTCCTTGAGGATATTTCCAGCTTGTCTATGGAATTTTTATTTGAGCAATACTACTCTCGATTTTTTTTTTTTTTAAGATTTTATTTTTTCCTTTTTCTCCCCAAAGCCCCCTGGTACATAGTTGTGTATTCTTTGTTGTGGGTTCTTCTAGTTGTGGCATGTGGGACGCCGCCTCAGCGTGGTCTGATGAGCAGTGCCATGTCCGCGCCCAGGATTCGAACTAACGAAACACTGGGTCGCCTGCAGCGGAGTGCGCGAACTTAACCACTCGGCCACGGGGCCAGCCCCTACTCTCGATTTTTAAGGACTATTTTTTGTTTTCTGAACTTTCTTTTTGTGGTATCCTGTTTACTTTATACATAAAATTTTGTCTAAAATATCTCTGAGAATACTAATGAGAATTTTTAGGTTAGCATTCTCTTCTGTTTTCTGGCTTTGCTCTTTTTCCTCTGGGGTCGGTGGTTTCGTTGCTCTTGGCCTTTCCCTTTCATGCCACTTGTTTCCTGGGCCATCTGGCCTTCTTTGGGTGTCTGTTTATATTTAAAGTTGATGGGGTCATTTGGGGTGGGTAGTGTGGATGTCCTCTGCTAGGCACTGGTGGGCCAGCTTCAAGGACTGGCTCTCTGTTTTGGAGCCCGAGTAGGGGAGGGAAAGGGAGACACAGGGCAAGAGGAGTACCTGTGTGGCCACCCCCCAGTGCCAGAAGGACTGCATTCTGGGGTGCTAGAACCCTCTGCTGTTTCTTCTTGAGCAGTGGATGTCATTTTCTGTGGTTCAGTTTGTCTGGGTAAATGCTGGCCTGCCCCTTGCTCTGAGCAGGAGATGGAAGAGATGGAGCAGGGTCTGGACTGTAGCTGACCTTCATTACCTCCCTCTCACAGGGTGTTCTGGGCAGGCACCCTTGTCTGTCACCATGCTTGGGTCTTCAGGAGCCTGTTGCTGTCTGACAGCTGCTGGCTGTCACCGGTTTGCCACATTGGAACTTCTCTGTGAGAAGGAGCAGCAGACTCTAGATGGAGCCTGCCGAGGTGAACCAGACATCTCGGTCATAGACTCTGAGGGCCTGGAAATTGCCCGGTCTGACCCCCTCATGTTATAGATGAGGAGACCGAGGAGGGTCAGAATGGTGGCAGGGCGCTCTGTTTGGGGAACTGTCTCAGGGCCCTGCAGGGGTGCAGGGCTCTGGAGTGTGGCTCCATTGGGGTTCGCATGAGGCGCCTGGACTCCCTCCACCCCTTCTTCCTGGCTTGCCATCTTAGAGCCTGAGCACAGGCCTGTGCTCCTCAGAGCCCTGGAGAAGGTGGCCCTGCACAGGCTGTTGGGTGGCACGCTCTGCTGTGTATTTAGGGGAGCCACTGCCAGGGGCCCCGGGCCGTGCTGCCATGCCACAGCACCTGAGATGCTGCCATTTCATCCTGGGAGATGCCTGCTTACCTCCCAGGGTGCGGGCGGGAGGGCACTGGCACGCGCACCTTTGCCCTGATAGATTTGTGGAAGAGGCTGGTGGAGGCAGGGCCAGAGGGAGGGGATGCACCCAGGGGTGGGAATGGCGAGGCTGCGGAGGAGCAGGTCTGGGGACACAGGAGAGGCTGTGGGCTGCCCTGAGACTGACGCTCCATCCATGTCGCCCGCAGGTGAGCGACCATTCGCCTGCAGCTGGCAGGACTGCAACAAGAAGTTCGCGCGTTCCGACGAGCTGGCGCGGCACTACCGCACGCACACGGGCGAGAAGAAGTTCAGCTGCCCCATCTGCGAGAAGCGCTTCATGCGCAGCGACCACCTGACGAAGCACGCGCGCCGCCACGCCAACTTCCACCCGGGCATGCTGCAGCGGCGCGGCGGGGGCTCGCGGACCGGCTCGCTCAGCGACTACAGCCGCTCCGACGCCAGCAGCCCCACCATCAGCCCGGCCAGCTCGCCCTGAGCGGGGCCGCCGCCGGGCCTGCGCAGCAGCCCAGCCCGCCCGGCCCGCGAGCCGGCCCGGCCCACGACAGCCATGAGCAGATGCTCTCACTCCCTCTGTGATTCCGTGTCTTTTCCTTTTGTAATAAGAAAGAAGAGAGAACTTTATGAAGTCAACAAAAAAACAAAATTTTCTTCACCTCAGGTGTTAAAGTTAATTTGTAAAAAAACAACAAAAAAAATTTCAAAAAACACCATCCACAGATTGCACAATAGACATGCCCACGAAGGTGAGATTCGCGGTGTTGAACCCCCTTTCTCAGGGATGGACATGTTCCACGAGGTCAGTGAGGACACCCCTTTCTTCCTGCCGCCTTACTCTGTACATAGATTTGCACTCTGGAGGTTTCTGGTAGGTTCTAGAACACACTGGGACAAAGCAGGCAGAGCAGCGCAGGCGGAGCGCAGCACTTGGCAGGCCTGTGGGGCGGCCCCTCATCACTTGGGAGCAGGCATGTCACTGACATTTGCTTCCAGGGCCTGTTCCTAAGCAGGGGCCCCCCGTCACCCTCATCCTGCCCACCCACCCAGCCTGCAGCCCCTGCCCCGCAGCCCAGCCGGGCCGAGGACACCAGTGTTCAGGGGGCTGCCTTAAGCCATGTGGGGCAAAGGGGCATTCCACCCCAGGGCTGTCCGCTGTCTCCCTGCCTCCAGGAGCCTCTCCCTGGGCGTCCCAGAGCACTGGGAGCAGAGGGGCAGGCCCTGGTGGGCAGAATACTGCACAGCCCACAGGGCCCGGCCACGCCCGCTGGCCTGGGACCTGCCCGAGGTCTGTGCCCTGTACAGGGATGCCTCTACCCTGGGTCCCTGCAGAAGGCACATGGGACCTTTCACTATTTCACCATGTTCTCTGACTGGAAAACGAGCCTGAGAAGTCTGATCTTCTGCAAAAAAGTCTGCAAGTGTCGCTGGTGCGTTCAGTTCCCGAGTTCTCCTGGCGGCCCTGCCCTGAGACTCCTCTGTTTGAAGTGGTGGGGGAGGTTGTGGGCCGCCTTGCTAGAGCTCTGTGTATGGGGCCCTGCATGTGGCCGCAGTCGGTACTTCGCAGAGACTGTTCTGTAGCCAGAGGGCAGAGCATTGTGACTTGGAACTTTTGGGAGTGGTGAGGCAGATGGTATGGGAAATGCCGTCGGAGAACGTGCGTTCTGCTTTCTCCCCAGGGAACACCAGACGGAGAGTTTTGGGAAATGCTGTTCTCAGACCCATCGTGTGCCCAGCTCAGAATTAGCGAACCTCCAGCTTCTCTGCAAGCTTTGCATCCCTGACTCCTCCCTTTCCCTCCTGTTTCTCCCCTCCTGCCCACCCCGGAAGGCCCCAGCCCACACCCTGCCTGTGCAGTGCTGGGGCTGCGGGGCCCCACCACCAGCCTGCTTCTGCTAGGAGAGAAGTAGCAGAGGGTTGGGCATCTTCTCCCAGAGCAGTTTCTCCTGGAGCCCCAACCTGAGCTGGGTTGGGGTTCGAGCCCTGGTGGGTCCCTCAGGCTGGGCTCCAATGCTCTCCTCCTCTGCATCCAGCTGGAGCATCCATCCCAGCACTGTTGCCCAAGCACTGCCCTTCCCTTCCTCCCGAGAATTAGGGCCTGTAAATACAGCCCAGGACAGAGTGTGTGTGTGTGTGTGTGTGTGTGTGTGTGTGTGTGTGTGTGTGTTGGGGCGGGGGTGTGAGTTTGGGGCAAATGTGGGATATCTTTCAGAGACCTCTGCTCATTTTGACGAGGAGGAACGACCCTTGGGACCTCAGAGGGCTGTAGATGAGCTTCCTGGGCCCAGAGTGCCTTGGTGGTGGCCATTCTGCTTCCACCCCCGCCTTTCCATGGTGTGGGGTGCAGCACAGAGAAACCCAGAGACCTAGGCCTGGCTGGTGCCCCCAGCCCCTGGCTGCTGCTTTGGGCTGACTCCAGAGTGGACAGGAGCCCTCTGTCCACAGTGACCACAAGGGTGGCAGTCTGCCGTCTGCAACACTCTGGGTGCCCACTTCTAACTCTACTGCATGTCAGCTGGAATTGGCCAATGGTGTGCTGGTAGCTTCTGAGCAGCATGCTAGGTACCAAGTTGGGCAGTAGTCTTGTTCTTGCTGTGGGTGGGAGCTGGGTGGGGACCAGTGGGGAGGGCGGCCTTTCTCTTTTCAGGTGCAGGGCTGGCTGCCTCTGCCGCCATGCTCCATTTGGGCTGCATGACAGCCCTGCTTGCATTGGTTCAGGAGAAAGAGCAGAATACGCTGTGGAGCCTTGGGATGAAGAGCACCCTGAGTGCCTGGGGTGAGAGACCTTCATGCCCAGTTCCAGAGCGAGGCCCAGTGGGCCTCAGAGCTCCCTCCCAAAGCCGTGTCTGTGTGAGGTGGAGAAAGCCACACTCTGAATACATTTCATGTCTCAGGAACTCACATTCCAGGTTCGGGAATTTTATTCCAAAGTCCTTTGGTGTGCTCACCGTCCACAGGTCCCCGAAGGCAGGGAGAGGGAGCTGCATGTCTCTCGGAGGCCACACAGTGCTGTCCCTGGAGGAGGCAGGGTCTCCTTGTGATCTGCCCACGGCATCTCGGAAGGAGGGTTTGCAGCCCCACGTCTATCTGCACATAGGAAGGGGGAAAAGGACTCTAAACCCAGTTGTCTTGGAATAAAAGAAGAGCCGGTTTGTTTTAGAGGTGGGATGGGGGGGTGGGGGAGGGAAAGCGGGCGTTTGCTGTTTCCAAAGAGAGCACTTAATTTAATTTTTCCTCTAAATGACCCAGGGCTGTTCCATCTGATAGATGGAAGGGTAACATTGCCTTAAAACAGAAATATGCAGGCATTGGCTATTTTTGGCAAACGAGTGTGTCTTCATTCCCAAAGTAGTTCTTGTCTAATGGTAGGGTGTGGCCCTTCCGCCATGGGCCTGGCCTGTGAGGTGGGACACTGCTTTTCTGACTTAGGGCACCTGGAGGGAATTCCTGCTCCGACTTCTGGACACTCAGCCTGGGGCTCCAGGCAGCGGACTGTCCAGACCCATCTAGGGCTAAAATTCATCTCACCTGAAGGGCAGGAAAGATCTCTGACTCTCAGGCTGGGTTCAAATGGGCTCTCACTAGCATCTCATCATCATGAAATGTGGAATGCACGTGGAAGAGGGTGGTGGGCCTCGGAAAGACGCCCTCACTCAGGCCCCACGGAAAGCAGTTACACGGGAGGACCCTCCTGAAACAGCCTGCATTTTCTTCTAAGATATAGAATGTCTTCCCAGCCTGGGTCTATTTCAGGGTCTTTCATTTTTCTGGTTTATGGCCATGCTTGCTGGCTTCCGTGTGACTGAGGAACCAACCCATAGGACTCCTAGAAATCATAGTGAAAACTCAAACCTTTATTTTGTAGCAGACTTCAGTTCTCGCAGGCTAAGGGGGCAGAGGTCTTAAAGCAAAGGTTACCTGAGTGAAGGGAGAGTTCCCCTCCAATAAAGCCTAAAAGTATCCCTGGACTCAACCATCAGGAGGCTGGTGTTCGGCTCACATCCCAACCAAGAAATCCCCTCTTTGTGTCAGCCATATTAGGGGAACAGTTCTCAGCTCCCCAAATGCCTACTGAATCTTACAGCCATCCAGAAAGACAGATGGACACAGTCCCTTCCACAAAGGGTCCCGGGGTCCTTTCCTGTCAGGTGCTATGTAGGAACGGGCAGTGATGCCCTTGATGGGAACATGGTCCTGGAGGTAGCCTACCTGTATCCCGCACCCCCACCCAAGGCACTCAAGGTTTGGGACACACACCCTCTTTATTCTGAGGCTATGCATCGGGCCGGTGCAGGATTCGCCACGGTGCAGCCTCCAGGTGCAAACATCAGTGGCACTGGCGTCCCCAGACCTCACCATGCCCTGGGTCACAGTTCAGATCAGTGAAGGGTGATTCAGAGGTAGGGCAGATAGCCAGGCCATAGGCAGCCCCCAGCCCACTTGTTGAGACGTGCAGAGAGGGCTCATGGCTTTCTGTGGTCCCAAGTGAAGTGTGGCAGAACTGAGGTCTCCATTCAAGTCTTCTGCCACCCAGCCCAGAGCCTCCAGGAGACCCAGCCTCCTTTCTTGACAGAAGTAGGTGCTAAGGTGGACTGCACAGGGTCATGGCACTCTCCGGGGACTTCATCCTTGATCTCAGCGAGCAGGAGTGCCACCTAACAGGAAAACATGATCTGAGCAATAGCATCCCCTCATTCTTGACTCCTGGTTTTGGCTGTGTTTACGAGGCTACATGATTATTTTGACTTCTGACAGGTATCACTGATTGTTTTTTCTTTTTTAGCCCATTTTTAAAAGGTCATTCAGTCAAAGGCACAGTGCTAGAAGGTAAGGGTCTGATATATTAGTCACATCACAAGCAGTAAAAAATGCTTTTTGGGTCACCCACATCATTTGCCATCCAAAGATTCCATATGCAATTCTGGTGACCATATTTTCCAAAGCTAAAATTGAGGGTGTGGGCCAATGCTTTTTTAATTGAGGATCACCCTGGGAAGAGCCAGTTCCTATGACTGGTTTTCCTGATTCTGAAGCTAGGTTTCAAAGATTCATCCTAGACACATTCCACAGAATTTTGTACCAGAATTTGGATGCCCAATCCAGCTTACTACTGATAAATACCTGAACATCATTTAGGGAGAAGGCCTTCCTCCACCGGCGGTTCCATCCCTCGTTGGTTAGGAGAGTTGAATTTGGTGGGAGGTGTGAGCTCAGGGTTCACAAGGGCAGAGGGGCCACACTTGGTTTCTGCTGACCCCTCCCGCGATGTCAGACTTGCAGTGCAGCCCCCTGGCCCTGCCCATCTTCTCCCCTTCTCATGCAGCTTTAAAACCTTACTACTTTTATTTAAAGATGAACAGGATGGAAGAGAAGTAGCGTCCCCTACGCCGTGCATCATACATTGCCTGTGGGGGACACAGGAAGCATGGGGTGGACCGCACGATCAGCTTTCTCCCAGGCCTCAGGGATGTCATCCTATGACCAGTGGACAGGCTGCTACACACTTTCATTTGGAAAGCAAGTATATGAACTGAATGCCTGCAAGGTGACCACATCTGGTTGAAGGCTGTTCCTCTCACTCAGAGCCCAGGGTGGCTCCCTCCCCAGCCCACCCTCCATGTGGAGGGAGTCAGCCACCTCCCAGTATGGCTCAGACACTGCTGGGGTCAGGGGCATCCATTTCCGGGTCAGGGTGCCTGTTCTCTGGGAGTGTGGGTGAGAGATGTCACTCCCCTGGCTTCACCTTCTAGGGTCCCAGTGTGGTGAGGACCCCAGGGCTTGAAGGCCATGGCAGGAGGTTCTCCTGAGCAGCTATACATTGTCAGATGTCGGGCTTGCTGTGGCTCCCACGTGATTGGGAATTGCTTGTGTGGGTGTGTTGGGTGCATGCACTGGGGTCTCAGTCACCCCCAGACCCTCACAAATGACCCCTTCCCCATCCAAAGCCTTTGATGGAGCTTCTCTGGAATCATTTGCCAAAATCCCAAGGCAGAATCCAAGGGTCCAAGACCATTTCCATCAAGCACACATTTTTCCTTTTCTGTAGGAACTTTTTTTTTTAAACCAGCACCACACCATGCTTCTGAAAGCCACATTTCATCTTTCCTGGATCACTACAGTGAAGTATTACAGTTGTACAGTTCCCAACCTGGCCTTGGCTTGCTCGGATAAAACTTTGTATGTATTTTGTATGGCATAGATTCTATATTGTAATGATGTCCTATGCAAAAAGAAAAAAATTAACTAAATTGTAAATTTTATTGTTTTAACGTGTATGCATGTTTAGTGACGTTTACATTTTGAAATAAAATTTATGATTCATTATTTTATTTGCCGAGCTGGTTCCTGTGAAGGGCATGCTTTGGGGAGGATCTGGGAGGGGAGGGGAACCAAAAGGGACAAACTCAAGCAGTTGTATGAAACTGGCTGATGGGCAGAAAACAACCTGGAACTTTGCAGGCCCCACAGAGGGAAAGGAGGCTTTGCAGAAGAGCCGTTTGCAGAGAGTGAAGGCTCTTTGGGCTGTCCCCTCCCGCCTAGCCCCGCCCATTTCAGCTTATCACATTCCCACCTCTGGGCCCAAACGTTCTGGCCCTTGCAAAAAGCTCAGCCTCACAGTTCCATCTCCAAGAGCACTAAGGAGAAAGCTGGATTCGCGGGGAGGCAGCAATGGTAGGTTCCCACCCGGCAGTGCTTCTCCCTAGGACTCCCCACAGACACCTGTGCTTCCTCTCCCTAGCAGCAGCCACATCTCTCAACCCCAGGCCGCCTCGGAGGTTCTGAAAGTTAGTGCAACCACACTGTCACTCAGCCAGATGTCTGCTCCCCTGCCCTTCTGCCTAGAGTCCAGAAAGCACCCTGTTTGCAGCCACTGAAGTTCCTAAGGTTGCCATGGGAACTGATCTCAAAGCTTGCTGCCGCATGGGCCAGCCCTGCGCTCGGAGGGTCCTGGGGTCTGGCCAGCAGAACTGTTTGTGTTGATACCAGAGCTCATTTAAGCCTCCTGTGATCATCAAGCACCCCTGGCTGTCCCCAAAACAGGGCATACCCACACGGGCAGCGGAAAGCCCACAGCCGGCGGAGAAGGTGGGGACGAAAACCAGTCCATGCCCTGTGCCAGCCACAGCACGTGGAAGGAAGGTGCGGTGCCGCCCCTCGTTCACAGCCCCAGCCAGGTGCAGACCCAGGACTGCGTGGGGACTGTACACGATCCTTAGATTACCACCTATTGTTTATAGGGTACATGAAAACCACGAAGAAATGTGAAATAGTAATAACGAAAGGTATTGCTGGTGGTCAAAGACTTTGCCTAAAGAGACATCTACACCGGCAGGCATTTCCTGATAAAAACTTGTTTTCTGTATCAGATTAGGAGCAGGGGGTGTGAAGTGAACACACCCAAGTACATGCTGAACCCTCATGATAACAAGCATGTGTTTTCAAACAAAAGTCTTGTTGGTGCCGAGACATTTGGAGCCCAGTCTTGGTTGGAGTGTTTTCCCAGGACAGCCGTTGTTCTGCCTTCTCGGAAATGGTGCCTTGTCGCTCAGGAACTCCCCAGATAGCGGCGACGCGGATGGATCCGCTTCCATAAATAGTTGTGTTGAGAGAAGCCCGAATGCTTTAAAAATATTGACGGGAAAGAAGCAGGCCCTCGGTGTGAGGTCACTGCTGGGGTTTACAAGAAGCTGCAAGCTCCTGTTGGGGTTCCTTTGCAGAAGCTGGGGGCCCGACATTCAGGGACCCCTCATCTCAGGCGCCAGAGGTCTCCTGAGACCTTGAGAGGCCCCCGGGAGTGTAGAAGGAAGAAAATACTCAAGCAATAGGTTTTTCTGGTGTTTAAGAAACAAACTTAATAGTGTGTGTGGCACAAACACAGCACATAAGCAGAGTTGGGGGAGGGTCTGTGGTGACAGGACCTCGGGGCTATATCAGGCTCCCTGTCTGGTAGGGGGCAGCGTCAGGACACTCGTGGGCCCCACCCCCTCTGCGTTTTATTAGGACTTGGATTAAAAGGTCCCACTTGTGGCAGTTAGGTGAAGTGCTGTGAGTGTGAGGGAAGGTTGCACATAGGTGGGAATGTCGTAGTTAATATGCTGGTTAGGAGAGTGAGAATTCAAAAGGCCAACAGACCAGCGGATGATGGTAAGTCCCTGACCAAAGCCCGCAAAAGGTAGCTGCAAATACTGGCTGAGACAGACCCATCTTACAGGATCGAATCTGGAGGAGACCCCGGCTGTGCCAGCCTGGGCTGCAGCAGGTCTCCAGTGAACACAGGACCTGGGGTAACCAGAGAGCTGTCTTTGAATAGGTGAGGAGTGGCATCTGGTGGAGGGAGTGTCGTCCTAGGGGACAGAAGCTGGCCAAGGCTCACAAAATACAAGAATTTACCATTACTTGGTACTGGCCTGCAGGCAGTGAGCCCTCCAGTGCTGGAGGTATTCAAGCAGAAGCTGAAACACTGCCTGCCAGGACTGCCACACAGGGATTTACATTCTGCAAGGTAGCCTGGTTAGTATGCAAAGGTATTTTCCAGGGCGACCAACTTGGGCACAATCATCAAGACATTTTGAAACTATCTCCTTATGGCCTCGTCTGGCATGTTGGCTTGTGGGCTGGCCTTGGATAGGTTGGGCTCGACAGCAGAGGGCCTTGAATACAGGTTAGACTGTAACTTATTCTGGGGACATGGGTAGCTCAGTCCCGCCAGTCAGGCCTCCTCTATCCCATGATAAAGTTCCTGCCATTAGCACCACTCCTAAGGCCTTCCAGGTGGAAAGCAGTTTCACCCAGCAACAGCATCCAGCTACTCCTGGCAGGGCTGCTGTCTCTGCACTGACTTGACTCCACCATGATGGATCAGAGTTCCATAGCAGTGGTACACAGGACAGGCACATTCTGATGGAGGTGGTGTTGGAAGCATAGGGCCTGTATTAGTTT